AAACACTGTTTTATGTGTGCATGTGATCATGAAACCATATTGTATTCACTAAGCTTTTAGCTTATACTATACATGTATATATCTCAGGTATCAATTGTTAGTAGACGCGATTGAATGAAGAAAGAGGAAACTATGTTTTGAATCATGCTTGATTAGATATTTAATTAGCATTGATTACATTAAAGTATTATACGCTTCCGCAATTATGTAACGAATTATGTTAAACATATTATGTGTGTTTGAAATTTTAAGTTCGTATTTTTGTTCATGACATAAATTATTAAGAATGACGTTACGGCACTCGAATGAAAGAAAAAAAAATCGGGGCATGACACTTATTACCAATGTACGCAACTCCTGATTATGCCACCCTTCTTACCAATGTACGCAACTCCTTGATATGTCACCCTTATTACAACACATCATGATATAATCATGATCAAAACCACCTTTTTACCAAAACTGACAATCAAAACTGTTTCAAAAAGAAAACTTATTTAAAGAACCTTAGAGTTATATACTAAATTTACCATCAAACTCAAACAGCTTTCGAGGAACTATTTTATCATTTTCTCACATAAGACCATACAGTTCAATGTTTCAAACACCAAATAAAGAAAGTTGATAACATAAACTCACCTTGTTTTCAAGTATATGAAGATGAATTCACACAACAACAACTTCCAAATATAATCATAGAATCAATCTTCTTCTTCTTCTTAAAGTTTTACATAAAAATTCACACAAGAGAACACACAATAAAGTTTCTCTCTTGCTTTTCTTTTTCCAAAAACAATGTGATAAGATAACTCTTATCCATTACCTTTTATATTGAACCACACAGCGATAGAGGTTTAATATTATTAAAAAAAACCCATAAATATCTCATATTCTCCCATGAGATTAAACATTATAAACCATAAAATACGTTGATATTACTTTAATAATTAAGCACATCCTCAAATTAAATTCTTCCACTTACCATTACCTTTCAAGAATCACCCCGGATTTTTATAACCGAAAACCGGTTATCACACCTTATATCAGTTTGCTGAAAAATTAACCCATATTTTCGATAAATCTAAGTGCTAACTAGGTGACAAGAGATCTTTCGTCTCATAAACATTTAATAATTCTAGTGGTCGTTCGCTTTCAGTACCCCAGAATTCTTGAGTCTAAAATCCATCCAACAACAAGGTCATGATAATGCTGAATCATCTATAAACATAGACAACACCATAATCTAAAGATTTTCCCTTTAAGGTTTCTAAGGCTTAAACATGTTCCATGCAGAAAACAAGTTTAATGTAGAAACTTCCTATGATTAACAGGTGGAAAACAAGGTACATAACTAAAAGGTAATTTGGATCTTATGAACGATTGAATGTTCCCACACTATATTTTCTCATCTTGGCACTCAATCAAGGTCGTCCCTTGACATGTTAAATGTGAGATTTTGAACAAGGCACCCAATATTTTTGGGGCCCAAATTTACATGTGTTCAGGGTCTTTTTATCGACCTGTAAAAGTATAACCAAAATTATTTATGTTCAAACCATTAATCGTTTGATTTTAGGTTCAAATCATTAAATGGTTTATGTTTAGTTTCAGATTGTTAATCGTTTTATGTTTAGTTCATTTTTGTTCTTAACATATATTCTCTGTTATCTTATTTATGCAATGTAATCAAAAGTTTTGGATGTAATAGACATCCAAAAAGATTGGAACGTCCCTGCACCAAACACGTGCCAAAAGGAAGTATTTCCTTAGGGTAAGCACTTAACACACTCTTAGGTCTTGAGCGATAAATTCCTTCATCTTATTTCTCTTACTATGACCTCAATTTTTCTTAATGAGAATCAAGATTTAACCAAGTGACTTATCCTTCGATTCTTCTTACGCAATACTCAAGAATCCAAGAAATATTAATTGTGATAACTGAATCCTGGTTATCACCCGAGGTAATGAATACGTGATTATCTGTTAAATGATTTTGTGATAGCATGATAAATTAGTATATTTGATCATGCTAGTATGTAAAATTTTGTGCATAGGTATTATATGCATAATATAATATATGTATGCATGATATATATATATATATATATGGAGGTCATGGGTATGAGTGGTAAGGGTGATTTAGCCGCCTTACCTTATTTAGCAAGTATAAATATGAGGGTGAGACCCTCATATCTCTTTTTCCTTGCCATTTTTGAAGAAGTGTGTGATTTAAAGTGAGGTTGATCAGATTTCATATTACCTGATTTCAAGAAGTTGAACTCATCTGATTTTCAAAGGAAATTGCATAAGGTGAGTGATGTTTTACTTTCTTGAAATGCATAAATTGTTTGTATAACTTTTTATCTGGTTTGAAGTTTAAAACCATATGGGTATTGTCCGATCTAGATTTAAATCGAATAAGTGTTAAGCGATTTAGACATAAACCGGACAGAACGTGAGCGGGTTAAGACTAAATCGTTGGTTATATCAACCGGTTTAGTCTTAAACCGGACAAGGTGTAAGCGATTTAAATATAAACCGCTCAAGTGTTAAGCGGTTTAGTTTTAAACCGCACATGTCTTAACCGGTTTAAAGATTGAGCGATTTATGAACTTTGATCTTATATTAAATGTTTCAAACTGAGAATTAGGAATACGACTATGAGGTGACCGGTTTATTTTAAATCGGACATAACATCCAGATTGTTAAATCGGATGGTCATGAATAGTGTTGTCCGGATTTGTTATCCGGACAAGGTTTTGTGATTTAAGCCAAGTGTTAAATCGGACAAGTTTTGTGAAAGTATTGTCCGAATTTGTTATCCGGACAATGTTGACCGGATTATGTATTGACTTGTCAAGATATGGAACAATAAATAGGAATTTTGACAAAATGAATTTGAACTGATAATAATTCCATTGATTGCGGTCTATTATATATGGAATTGTTTTATAAAATATTTTGATGAGGAAATAAGGGTAGCATATCAAGGAGAGGTGTAACATGTGATAAGGATGACATATCAATGAGATGTGTAACATGAGATAAGGGTGGCATATCAAGGAGATGTGTACATTTGGATATAAGGGTGACATTTGTATATATGTGGTATGTAATATAACTCCTACTATCATATCCCTTAAAATTACCATGGTCTGAAATCTTTATTTCTTTGTGATTTAAAGGTTTAGGATTAAGGTTTTTGTTGGAAATCATAGTCTAGATGTTATTGAGAAAGAGATAACAGGTTTGGCCTGAAACTTTGAATAAACCCTATTCGATTTAAGAGATTTAAAAGTGGCATTATGTTAATTTGGTTAGTGTATACCTGTTTGGATTTGATGTATTATTTGCAAGCAGAGAAATTTGGCTTGAAAAGTAAAAGGTATTGATGTTATGCCCTTACTTGTTCATATATTTGTTATATATATGAAAAGTTGTTTTACATAAAGTTTTTGGTGATTTTCATCCTGCAATAACATAAATATGGTAACTAGTAGATCTTTCGGTCTAACCCTTGTTTTGTGATTTTAAATATGTATTGCCGGAAGTGCTGACGGTAAGGGGAAGGGAAAAATGTAATATTTTCTCTATGTGATTATCTGCGAGAAGATTTACTGTCAACATGTATAGTTTTGATAGATAAAACTGGTTTAGTGCAAGAATTGTATTTGGAATGGACCATGTATTTTGTACCGGTAGATTCTTGTACTAAGGGACCAATGTAGTGTACAAACATATATTTCTTACAAATGAAGTATATGTTATATACAATGTGTAGAATGGAGTGTTACATTAATTCAACTTTCAGAAGCAATATTCAGCAACAATCACCATGTAAAATTCTAAGAGGCACAACTACATTTATTGCCAAAGAGTGACTTGCATTAAACTAGCAAAATGCCCATTAAAAGGATGAAGTTAAACATTATCCATATCATTGATTATCTGGGTAATTACATTGGGTGTTAGGAGATCCACTTTGACTGAGTTTTTGAGACGATACCCTTAAGTTCTTCATGCCAGTGTTGTTATGGACCTTGCACCTGTTGTTAAATAATGTCTATAAATATAGAAAAATGGGAAGATAGTTGTTGATTAAGATAAAATTTGTAAAGATCATGTCATGATTAGTCTGAACAAAAAGATAAATTGGAACCACAATGGTGGTATCCCGTATCTGATTGGTTTGAGTTTGGGCTCCAAAGGTCAAAAGTGCCTCGAGGTCCATGTTCGAATCCAACGAAGAATAAAAATCCTCGTGTGGCCACGGAGGTTCAAATGAGGTGACTCCGGGCTATCCGCGAAGCGGGTGGTCGACTTGAGATTAGTCTAGTCGGCTCACATACCGGATTGAATATCCAGGTTAATAAAGAAAAAAGATAAATTGGATAGAAAATGTTAAAAAAATATTTGTATTTTTATAAACATGGTTATGGGGACCAACAAAAACCGAAAACACTAAGAGTAATATAGAAATTGAAAGGGTTTAAAGTTCTCCAATTACTCCAATAATTGTTTCCATTATTTTTCTTTGGGATTATATAAGCTGTTATACAGATGATGCTTAATATATAAAGTGGATCATAACATAAAAAGAAATAACAAAGCAAGCTTTTGTGTTTTTTAAGGGAGCTTAATTTGGTCAAAAGCTGGGCATGTAACAAAACCATATCACGGGAATTCAGATAAAACTTCTCGGGGAGTCGGCCACCTTGCCTTGTTTCTCTATAACCTAGCTCCGATTCTGTTCCCTTTCCCACTTTTTGAGCTCCAAACCATACAAACACCTCTCTCTCTCTCTCTATGATGATCCATGCATATAGAATCGCTAAGATGATCGAGTTTACCGAGTCGATGATCTCTCTTTATTAGCGATAATCTGAAATACTTAACCCGAGTTATCCATCTTTTTCTCTTGTAAGGTTCTGAGTTTGCCGAGTTATCTGTCTCAACTCAGCAACTTTTTGTCATTTGGGTAATCTCAAAACCTGATCATGATGAGTCTACTTATTATCTTGGGAAAGGTTTATGATTTCTATATTGCCATAGGCTCATATAGTGGTTAGTGGGGGAGGCCTGCATATATTATATGCATGTAATGTTTTTTGGTGTTGTGATATAATGCTTGGAATTAAATATTGATAAACAAAACGGAACTCTTCTTGTCTTTTTGTCCTTTAGTCGAGCAGGCCGGCAAAGTACAAACCTTTGGTCTTTGCTGTTATTTTATATTGGTTTCTTTGATTCAATTCGACGGGGTTGATGGTAACTTAGCATATCATTGAACATATTTGCCTAAACAGCACTTTGTTGGCTGGTTCTTCCATTTCCCTTTGCAGAAAACTAATGGAGGCACAAGAAGGTGGTGGTGGTGGTGGTGGTGGTGGAGGTGGTGGTGGTGGTGAAGTGAGGAAAGTTCATATAATCTATTTTCTTAGTCGTAAAGGACGTATTGAGCATCCGCATCTCATCCGCGTGCATCATCTTTCACGCAACGGTGTTCGCTTGAGAGGTTAGCAATTGAGCCAAGAATCATATATAAATAAGTATTAAGTGTTTCTCTCAAGAGTGATCATAGGCAACTAATGTGTGTAATAATTTTCTTTTGTATTTGCACTTGTTATTCTTTGCGACGGGTGAACGATGAAGATGTTAAGAGATGGCTATCGGAACTAAGAGGGAAAGACATGCCCGAGGGTTTTGCATGGTCATACAAGAGGTTATTTCACTCTCTCTTTTCCATTTTATTTACGTTCGATAGAATCCCGACACAGAACAGAAGTACCAAGCACAAAGTACTGTATGCATACATTATACTGTAACTCCTGTGTTGTATTATTGGATAATCTTCAATGTTACGAAAAAACGCATTTTTCGACCATTTTAATTTTGGCATGTATGCGAAAATTCTCGAAAATAAAAACTTATATTAAAACATAAATACTGATTCCATTAAGAAACTGCTGATTCCATATAGTTTACTCTTAAGAAGTCATGTGATTATTGGCTTATTGCAGAAGGTACAAGGCTGGATATGTATGGCAAGATCTCCTAGATGAAGATCTCATCACCCCAATTTCTGATAATGAATATGTCCTCAAAGGATCAGAAATTTCCTTCATCACCTTATCCAATGGTAAGCATCAATTTCCATATTTGTAAGAGCTTTTTAGTATTCTTTATTTCAAGTAGCACTACAATAACATCCTACTTTTGGACATTATGTTTAAGGTTTGGGTTCATGTGAGACCAAGGGTTTTTCATGAGACCCGTAAGACCAATTTATGTTCATTGATCAACTTTATAAGCTAATGATCTAATGGTCTAAAGTTGTACGGTGACAATTTTGTGATTATTGAGAAGTCTCGTGGCAATTTTGTGATTATGAATGTTCAGATTGTAGATTTAATCCAACGGTTGAGAATTGGTATTACGGGTCTCACGAAAAACCCTAGGTCTCATATGATCCCAAGTCTCATGTTTAAATATCATAATGTAAAACAAGTTTTATATTGAGTAAGTTTATAAGACCAGACAATTATTTATGTTATATAAAGGTGTTTTTATAATAAGTTCATAATAAAACCGATGTAGTTTAATCGATCCAACCAAGCTTATAGTTCTCCAAATGTCCAATCACAGATCTTAGTTCATATGGCGAAAAGGAGGTCTCCAAGCCAAAAAACTCACACCCATTCAAGGTTGAGATCGTAGATTCAAGAATCCCTTTGGCAACAAAAGCGCAAGAGAATTTGATCGATTTATCGACAAAAACTTCATTTGAAATCGAAGAACTGCCTTCGTTTGGCTCTGAGACCTCTACTGACGACACAACCAAGCATCAAGAGGATTATAAGTTTGTTACCGCGACAAAACATGAGGAAATGCAAAACCAAAAGAAAATTGAGATTAATTCCTTCTTGGAAACTTTCTTGAACAAAAACAAGAATGACAGCAAGAGCAAAAAGGGTGACAATCAGAAAGGATCGTGTAGTTCCAAAGCTTCTCCATCATCAAATTATTCGTTTCGAAAAAGCAGTAGCTACTCAGGCTCGGGAGCGTCTCATACGTTCTTGAATCTAATCACGTGTGGCATTGTAGACACCAACGAGTCCGCTGTGACCGTGATGAATCAAAGGAAAAATGGCATAAATACGATGAATGCATCTTCCAAGAAGGAGAATCAAGAGGGAACAAATATTGGGCAAGTTGTTAAAGGAGAAACGTTAGGGGGATCTGAGAGGTTTCCCAGAGATCATTGGACAACATTTGTGCAACAAAGAGAGAGTTGGTAAATCATACTCTACATTAAAATAGGTCTTTTTGGATACACATGCGTCTTAATACAGTTCTTGATGAGACTTTTTCAATAAGCTTCTAGGATGAAATTAGGTGACATAACGAGTTCTAGCTTTGAAGTTGAGCACCGTAGTAACAAAAAAACTAGAATCGTTATATTAGTCTTTTTATACAACACTTTTGAAAAGTGTCGTAAGACTAAAAAGTTTAACAAAACGATTTAGTTTTTGTCTTATTAAGTTGTTCAACTTCGTGCGCGATATTTGTTAAGTCGCCTTACTTCGCCCTAACGACTAATAACAACACTTTCAGATAAGACACACACAGTTATTGTCTTATAAATGTTTTGTAACAGGAAAGAGGGATCAAAAACGAGTTATAACTTGGGCAGCTCTAATTACAGCATAAAGACATTTCCAGCTGCTTATAAGTTTGGCAATGGCCCTTATTGCTCGTAAGTTAACTTATAAATCTGGGTATCATCTCAAGACAACAATATCACAGCAATTCTTTCATATTGTTGATGCAGGCAGTGTGGGAGGCAGTTCAATCCTGAGAAGCTTCACACACACATGAAGTCTTGTAGAGGAATGAAGGCATTGGCCAAGGCTGCAAAATCCAAGTCCTAAGGAAGCTTGATAAAATAAGCCAAAGATATCAAAAATAGAATCGCCATTTTCGCCTTTAACATGACAAATAGAGACGTATTTTAGTTTCTTTGTAGTATTTAGAAACTAGATATCGTTTACATTTACAGATTGTTTTGTGAAGAAGCTTCCTTCGCAATAGTCTCCAAATCTTTTCAATGTAAAGTAACAAAAATAGCTGTTAACTTTTGAAGTTACCTAAGAGAATTAAAATTGTGGACATTTGATTCCTCTAAAGAATGAATATTGATTTGGCTTGAATGAATATTGTATTCACAATAATCGTGTGTGTGTGTGTGTATATATATATAGAAAGAGAGAGAGAGAGGAGAGGATAAAGTTTAGGATAAATACAAGGTATACCAAGGCTAGAGTTTAGGAGAAATACAAGGGATACCAAAGATAGATTACAACAGACTTTGACTAAATATAAATTCAAATTATTGCAATTTATTCCCAGAAGATGTGTGATCCGTTATACGCCCCCGCAAGATGGAGGATCCGTCAGAGACTCCAATCTTGGATCTTAATGATAGAAACGGCGCTTGGGAGAGAGGTTTTGTGAGTACGTCAGCTAGTTGGTCCATAGAGTTAACATGTAGGACCTTTAGCTCACCAGCAGCTACCTTTTCACGCACGAAGTGATATTCCAAGGCAATATGTTTCATCTGAGAGTGATAGACTGGATTGGCACAGACATAGGTGGCACCTGTGTTATCACATTATAACTGTGGCGGCTGTTTGATAGCGATACCCAATTCAGTTAGTAGATTTTTGACCCAAGACAGCTCAGCAGTTGCATTTGCAAGAGCCTTGTACTCAGCTTCGGTAGAGGAGCGAGAAACTGATTTTTGCCTCGCTGATTTCCAGGAGATGATGTTTGAGCCAAGGTACAAAATGTATGCAGTGGTGGAACGACTAGCAGTTGTGACGCCGCCCCAATCTGAGTCAAAAAAAGCATGAAGCTCCAACGGGGATTTCCAGTCAAGAAACAAGCCATGATGCAAGGTCCCTATAAGATAGCGCAACAGTCGTTTTAAGTCTTGCCAATGCGTTTGCGTTGGTGAGTGCATAAACTGAGAGAGTTTATTAACCGCGAAAGAGATGTCCGGTCTCGTGAAGGCGAGATATTGTTAGAACCCAACAAGTTTCCGGTAGGGAGTCGGATCCACTTATGGGGTATCATCATTGACTGTGAGGGCTTGAGAGGGACTTAAAGGTGTAGTTACAATCTTTGCTCCATCCATTCCATGTTGAGTGAGTAAGTCACATATGTGACTGTGTTGAGAGAGAAACAGGTCACCTTGGGTTAAAATTATCTCTACACCCAAAAAGTTACTGAATGGACCAAGATCTTTGAGATAGAATCGGAAAGCAAGGGTGGTCACAAACTTGTTGATGAAGTGTGAATTATCGTCGGTTAAGACAATGTCATCAACGTAAACCAAGAAATAGCAAGTAACACCTTCACGATTGTAAATGAAAAGAGAAGCATCGGCTAACGACTTGCAAAACCTGAATTCAAGCAGGAATGGCGTTAATGCTAAATACCAAGCACGTGGTGCTTGCTTGAGTCCGTATAAGAATTTTTTTAGTCGACAAATATGATTCGAGAATTGAGGATTGATGTAGCCCGGGGGTTGAATCATGTAAACCTGTTCTCCTAAACTGTCATGTAAGAAGGCATTGTTAATGTCAAGTTGACGAAGTGGCCATTCTTGAACCGTCCGGGTTGCGTTTGATACAGAAAACCCACTTACAACCAATCGGAGTGTGGTTGTTGGATGGAACAAGTTCCCACGTATGACTTTGAATCAACGCATTGTATTCATCATCCATTGCTTGACGCCAAAACGGATCTTTGGAAGCTTGATTATGAGTAGTGGGTTCCAGGGGTATAAGAAGTGGGTGAAGGGTTGTGTGGTTGACATAGGTGGAATTGTAGTATTTAGGGTTGGGCTTTCATTGGCGCGGTGGCAACGATGGAGTGGAAGCAGAGACGGCAGGAGGGGGAGAGGAAGGTGTAGTTTGTGGAGAATGTGGTGGTGTAGGTGCAGTGATAGAGAGGGAGGGTGATGGTGAGGTGCTGGGTAGAGAGGGTGTATCAAAGGAATGAGTTGGGTGTATCAAAGAAACGGAGTGTAGAGTTGACATGTCAAATGGGAGATGATGTGATGCACCGGTATCTGCAAGCCATGACTTGTGATTGGAGCTCGTTTTAGCCCCTGAAGATGTGGCATCTGCGACGGGATTGGTGGAAACCGGGATGTTGTTGTCTCTTAAAAATTTGGCAAGCTTTTGACACTCACGTGTTTCATGACCTGGTATGTTGCAGTATTGGCAAAACAAATGGGACCTATTGGTCTTCCCCTAAGGGTTTTGTTAGGCAAAGGAGGGTCGATTTCCTCTATTATTTTACCTAGAAAGAGAACGACTGTTGTGGCTCGAGTAGTCTGAGGAGGAGTGATTCTGGGTACGGTTTGATTATCACTGAGAGTAGTTTGCTGTAACAACCATTGGTGCTGCAGTAAACTCCACCTCTTTCATAGATGGTTCGAAGTCAACAAGTTTATCAAAAAGCTCCGGATAAGAGATCGGGTTTTCACGAACTTTTATTGCGACTATTATTGAGGTGTATTCATGACCAAGTTGACTTAGAATATGTACCAGTAGGCCCTCTTCATGAACCGGGCTTTGGACAAGTGTCAACTCATCCGCAATGGAGCGCATCTCATTTAGGAATTCAGTGATGGGTCGATTTTCTTTGGGATTTTTTGCAAGTTTGTACTTCAAGGAGATGATCCTTGAATGAGAGTTGCTGGCATAGCTTGTGTTGAGATGCTCCATGGCTTCTTTTACAATAGAGGCAGAGGCAATGACAGGTTGGATTGCATCTGAGCATGATCCAAGGATAGCACTGAATATTACTTGATCTTGGCGATACCAAGTAGTGTAATTGGGATTGGTCTTGACAGTTTCTTTGTCAGTGATAGTTTTTGGTGGAGAATCGCTCTTCCCGGTGATAAAATCGTCCAGGCTTAATCCAACAAGTGTAGACTGCACCTGTCACCGCCATACAGGAAAGTTTTTGGTGGTTAGTTTGATAGGGAAGTGGGTTGAGGTGGTGAGTTGAACTAGGGCTATGATTTGTGTCATGGAGATGACAAGGGAGATTGAGAGAGGGAGAGGATCGATGGAACTCTTTAGAGCTTGTGAGGCTTTGATACCATATAGAGAATGAATATTGATTTGGATTGAATGAATATTGTATTCACAATAACCATATATATATATATATACACAAAGGAAAGGCTAGAGTTTAGGAGAAATACAAGGGATACCAAATCTAGAGTTTAGGAGAAATACAAGGGATACCAAAGATAGATTACAACAGACTTTGACTAAATATAAATTCAAATAATTGCAATTTATTCCCGGAAGATGTGTGATCTGTTATAATTCCATGGTATGAAACTGTAACTCTAATCGAGTATATCATGCCACTTGGATCTCTATGCGTTTGGAGTTCGTATAGAGTTACAACGCCACTGATGTATGCCCAAAATCGCATTGGGAGAACTATCAAGAACACTAACAAAACTGTAACCTAGATTTACTTAAGTTGCCAAAATGCTTGTATCCGACCTTGTATGTGACCTCAAGTTGCATTCAATCAATTCACCCGTACAAAAAAATCACAACCAAACTCGAAGTCGTAAGAAAATGGCATCAAAATTGCACTTGATGTACCATTGCCCGAGCGACTTGGTCGAGACCCATGGTCACATGCCAGATCGCATAATTTACTGTCGTGTTCGGGAGGTGGTCTGTATCACCATTTATATAAATTCCACACACCAAAAGAAGGCATAAATACCAAAATTCCTGCCAATAGGTAGACAACCCAAAAACTAGGGTGCGAACGACCTCCAACTATCACACATAATTTGAACTTTATCTACATGTACCTTTAAGCCATTTAATGTTTGTTTCATCCATAGGACTTGAGCACATGCTCTTGCAGCGCTACATATTTTGCTTCAGTGTTGATGATACACAACAGATTGTTGCTTCTTTGAAGACCATGTCTAGTGACAGGCCAATATAAGGCACACACATCACTAGAGCTCTTCCTATCAATTAAAGAGCCTCCAAGATCCAGGTTGGTAAAACATGTCACTTCAAGATCGGGTTTCTTCAGATACCATAACTAAAGGTCCATGGTTACTCTTATGTAGCAAAAAATGTGTTTTACCTCCTCATGATGTGATTGTTTAGCGCTTGCTTGAAAACAAGCACATAAAGGAACACTATATATATATATACTATCTTATTAAACAAATTCATCAAAAGTCTTAAAGTCTTAAAATTCTAAATGACCAAGATACCCTTTTCACTTTTTCACTTTTTCACTTTTTCACCCCTTCCTCTCCTCACATACACTCACCCCCTCACATTCATTTACCTCTCACATTCAATGGATTTTTTTTAAAATTATAATTTTAAATTTACATTTTATATCCCTATAATTAGTTAATTAATTATTTTATGTTCTTTACTTTTAAATGTTTCATTTTAAACTTTTATCAAATTAACATACATAATCGTATATCAAATAAAACATGTTTAAAAATACATTTTTATTTTAACAAGTTACACTATTATAATCGTCTCGTTAATACCTTCGAAATGAGTCCAATATTGAATAGTTTTTGACTTAATTATATTATTATATATTATATATATTGTGAAAAAATAATTTTAATGTTTACGATTTATACTTTTATAGTTATTTATTTATATATATGCTATACATTTTGGGATTAGGCTGTCCAAATTGCACTGTATAATATATTCTTGGGTTTTTTTAAAATATATATACATGTATTAATTCAACCTTAATATGAGYTTCTGGACAAGAAAGAGGGTAAACAGTTGAAATTTCATTCTAAAACCCATATTTTTTGGTCTTTTCATAGTTT